GGGCTGACAGTCCAAAAAAAAAAAAACGATGAGATCAGATCCACTCTGGAATGAGGTTGCTCATTTGAGGTGAAAGGTTGATTTTCCATCACATCTTGTTGGATTTATATTTCCGTGTGGTTATTGTGAGCACACCTCACATGAGGTGCTTTAAGAAATGCAGGATTATTCTTGTATCTGTTATTTGTATATAAAGATATCAGCATGTACAGGTAGCTGAAGCAACAGTTGTATCCAATGAATAATACTGTCTTAAGGAAAACAGGACATACTGTTTTGGATGTTAGGGCGACTTCAAATGAAAACTTATTGTCATTTGGCTATAAAAAGAAACGCTCCACTGACTCTTTTCCCTGCTCGTTTCCTCACAGGAAGTGGCCTTGACAATGACTGTCATCCCTCAGCACACACGTTCCCCAGCTTTTCTCTCTGATGAGCAGAACGGGAGGGAGAGCCAGCACCAGGAAGAGGCCCATCGCCCGTCGTAAGTGGCTGTGAATCCAGTTGCAGCCTGAGACCCTTCAATGAACATGAGAAATTGCTCCACCGAAACTGGACACTCTCCCCCCCCCGCTATTGTAGAAAGGATGAGAAATATGTATAGTGATCATGTGTCATATATCCATTTCCTCGGTGAACAATAGTGGTCAACTGTAGAGCGAGTGGTACATAAAAAAAAAAAAAAAGGATTCTGAAAGGGTGATTGGTTGTGATGTTTTGTGACAGCAGCATAGCTTCAAAAGATTGCACCCAAAAATCCTGGTTAAGTGTAGTTTTACAGGTATTTATGTTGTCATTATGCTGGTAAAGGCAGCAAGATTCTCCCCCCCCCCCCCTTTTTTTAAAATCACTACACCTTACAAGATGTTAGAAGTACTAACACACCAGAATTCCACTGTAAAACAATGTTTAAAAAAAGGCTTGTGTTCTGAAACTGATGAGATCGCATCAGGCTCACTCTAACAATGTGCCGCCTCAGCAGCTATTTCCAGAGAAATTCCACCTTTTTTTTTGACACATAATCCTCCTATACTTACTGTACTTCTCTCCCTCTCAAGAATGTGAAATTGATCGATGCCTTACACAAAAAACCGCTCGACTTTGATGGCAGTGATGAATCAGCTAAAGCCCTTAATCGGTTACAACCGGCAAAGGGAAAAAGTCATTCAGAAATGTGCTTCAAGGATATAGGAGTGGACCGTCGTGTTAGAAATGATAGAATGCAACCTTCTCGCAGCCTCTGCTTTAAACTGCCAGCCCTACATTACACTGCTAGAGCAATTTGGTTTTAATAGCTTCCTCGCTCTTCTCCAGCCCCATATGTGATATATGATAACTGGTTCATTAGCAAGAAGGAGAGAAGGTTAGTGACCTGATGCGGGGGGTTATGCAAGGCAGGAGTAAAGTAAGTGAAGTTTTATGTTCATATTCAAGTCAAATTTAGGGGAAGAAAACAAAGCTTCAGTATATTTCACTGAGAAAACTCGGTTAAATACACATAAGCAGGCAAAAGTCATCAAGGAATAGTTTAATATTTTGGGGAAATCATTGACTTTTTTACCTACATACTAACTCTGGGCATAAAAAAACAAATTTATTTTCAATCTATTTCCAAAATGTCATACTATTCCTTTATAAGCTGATTAAATGGCTGATCATAAGGATACATACAGCCTGACAGCTACCTTATTTTTAGTGTCAGATACCCTATATGGCTTTGTTTTCCATCCGTTAGCAACATTATGAACTACAAAGGAATATTATTGATCAAAATCAGCAGAAAACCTGTCAGTCATCCTTTCTGTAGCATGCGAGTTTTGAAATTTGAGTACACGGCCGCTGTGACGATGATGTTCTCTGCATTGTCCTCCTTGAGTATGAAGTGCCTTCTGACACAGACCGCAGAGTGTGAGACCTTACCAAAGCAACGTCTTTGGGCTTCGAGTTTACCATTGTGGATATAGAATTTAGCTGTGTACCTTCAAAACATTTAGAAAAGTCTTAAGTTTCTCTCAAATACTGTCGACCCAGCTGTGACATGCCATGTTACACCTGAACTGCTCCTAAACCTTAACCCAACCAGAGCTCTTCCAAAGCAGCAGACACTTATTCATCTCTTTAAATATTTGTGGTTAAAGTGGTTTTGCGCTCTTCTGTTCCATGTTTGTGTTAAAAGAAAAGACACGAATCTCTCAAATCTAGAAATCACAGCAACGACTGAAATCTGAAAGGATTCCAATGACAATCAGTTTGAGGTAGCAAAGCAGTCCTTTAATGTCAAACTTGATCACTTATTTTGTGTAGAAACTGTGGAACTTAAGTACAGGCGCTTATTTGTGTTAGGTTTTGCAGTCAGTCACCTTAATTTTATTTATTATATTTAAAAAGAGTTCAACCTTCATATTAATTTGAGCCTCAAACAAAGTGCCCATCTACACGTGTCTGCATCACGGAGACAGTTTGTTGACTGGCCACTATCTGCCCTGTAGTTGTCTTGAGTCTTAGCTCAAGTGTATAATAGTTCCACCACATCTGGACCATTGGAGCCGTACTAAGTGAGAAGACTGGAGAACGTTCAAGTTCACTGTGTTTGTCATTTTCTGCAATTTTTGTTGTTTATTGTAGCCATTCGCTCGTTTGTAGGTATGTGTCGTCATGATTTCTGTTTTTGTTACTCTGATGATTGTTTGTGTCCGCCATGTTTTGTGTTCTGTCAGATTATATGTTAATAGCACTTTGAATACATTGAGTGTAGGACTACAGTTTTCACTAAATGTACATATGTAATGTTTTTGATGATAAAAAGGGTAATAAATTGAATGTTCTACCACGTATACTAGCATTGTTTTTTAATGCCAAGAGGAATGCAAGGTAAGTAAAAGTCAGGTAAACGAATAGTTTGACATTTTGGGAAATGCGCTTTATGTTCTTGCCGAGGGTTACGTAAGACAGATGCCAGTCTCATGTATGAAGCTAGAGCCTTTCCAAAGGTAACAAAATCCACCTACCAAGCACCTGAAGGTAACTGTTTCCAAAAACATGTTATGAAAAAAAAAGAAGTGTAAAATGATGTGTGTTATGGAGGATATGTGCTGGACTATTTCTTGGCTCGCGTTTGCATGGCAACCTCGCCATGACGAGAAGATTCCAGGTTGCTGCTTCCAGCCATGACAGTCTGGCACAAAACCCTCCATAACACCACAAACTGGAATCTTTTTCACACTTTGGTTTTTGCAAAGATGAAACAAATTAGGTATGTTAATTAGCGAGCTTTGGCGCTTTTACCTTTAAAACAAAGCCGAGCGAGCTGTCTTCCCCCCCCCTTCCAGTCTTTGTGTTAAGCTAAGATTAGTAGTAGTAGCTTCATATTTGCTACATGAGGAGTATTTTGTCTTTGCATCTAATGCTGCAAAAGCGTACAAGCATATTTCACGAAATGTCAAACTATTCCCATATGAAGCCGAGAACTGACTCAGTGATACGGGGTCTTCCATTTAACAGCAGGGGGGGTTTCTAGAGTTTTCCCTAGAAATAGTTAACATTCAGTGGTTCTTTCGGTTCCGTATGCCCCTATTGCACTCCCTCATGACAGGAAATCACAAGTTTGCGGTTATGACATTGTTTTTATTTGTACCACACATAGAGCCATTGACAGTCACACACACATCAGTTTCAGTATTGCGGATCACCCACACAGTATCACAGTCCAATGTACAGTGTCTACTATTTAACCAGGAACACCCAAGATGAGAGAATGAAGGCAAAGATTTCCAAACTGTATATTGTCCCTTTCTGTTCCACATGTTTGTTTTTTTAAGCTTGTCCACATTTGTCTTGTTTCCTAGCAGGATAGCCTGCATATCCATTACTGCCTCTGCCACTGCCTCCATTTCTATGGAGATAAATGAATCAGATTACACATAAACAATAAACAGCTTAACAGCACTAACATAAAACCTAGAATATTGATTCATAAAAGCACACAGGAAAGCTTAGAAATCATTAAAAAAATAATAATTTGGGAAACTTAGTCAATCAACAGCAGATAGACAAAGTATAAGGAGTTATAAACGAAAGCACAGGATTAGCTAATTAGAGTTTAGCTTTCATAATAAGAGCACACTGTAACTAGAATGCAGCCATCCTAGACGGAGAGCTCTTTGGGGGAAAGGAACGGTCTCAAGTGATGGTACAGTGCTGAGTGACTGCTTTTCTTTTTCCGTTAGATGATTAGACGCCATTGTCAAGCTTTGAATGAAAACCAGGAGGGATGAAAGTAAAAGGAGAGCAATTACACAGGCTTTTGTCAATCGTTTTACTCGGGGGTTAGGGGAGTGAAAAGAATGATTATACAGGCCTTTGTCTGCTCTCCGTGCATGACGGTTACTGTCAAATATTGTTTTGGCCAATACAAATATTTCCTCAACAGTAATTATGAAGTACATACTACATTTAATTAGCGAGAGCGAGGCTCGACTCAAACAGCTCCCTGAGACTTAAATGAGCACCAGCTTGTCAACTCGTTGCAAACCCCCAGTATGAATATTAATGAGTGTCAGCGTGATCCCCGCATCTTATTATAAAGCTCAAATAAAATAATTATGATCAGCATTCGTCAATATACGTTTATTTCAGCTCATGTAGACATTAATCCGAGAAAGGCTGAGGGCGCGCTGACAGCTGCGACAGATAAAAACTACACATCCACATTATGCAGTACATCATATTTATGCCCGCTCATTTATCACGAGGCCGACATTTGCTTTTGTGCGACTGTACAGACTGTAGGTTGGCATAGACCGGGCAATTTCTTATCTGCTTGGACTTCTTCTTGGGACACACAGAGATGTTCTCATAGAAGTTTGGCTGTGAATATGCAGTAGATTTGATTAGTGTATGAGGTGTTAGACAAGGACATGTGACAGATGATAATTTAATGACTGATAGAGCAGTAGCTTGGCAAAAAGTAATAAAATGTCCCTCTAGATGGGCTCAATCTGAAATATGCTTTTTATGATGACATAAAATGACATTATTACATTACAAAGCTGTTATTACATCAAAAAGGGGGGTGGCACATTTGGTTCAATAAAGTTATATTAAGTAAAACTGTAAAATGATGCTTACAATTTCAATTCAATTTGGCTACACTTTGACAAGCTGCTCTTATGCATTACCCAAAAGCCATGAGGCCGTCAGTTACTGTAACGCAGCATTAGTTAAGTCAGCAAACATACACGTGATGCCTTCAAATTGAACTCGCGAGTTCGTGGTCGCGACACGGGAAGTCACGTACACAAACTCGTGAACCCTGAGCCTGCATTTCCACTTTGTGGCTGTGAACACCAGGAGGAGAGTGTGCACATGGACTCTTCTTGTGAACCCCGGTAAACACGACCTCATTTGAAGGCAGCAGTGCAATGTATCAAGGTACATGATGAGAGGATGTGCTGTGTCGAACAAGATTAATGGTAAAGTGTAACGGTTTTATAATGAAGTGCATGTCTGAAGAGAAGGTAAGGGAGTGCTGTGAAAGTGTCGAGTGCAAACACAAGAGTGGAGATGATGAATAATGGGAGGCTCACCTGTCTCTGAGATGGGTGCAGTTTGACTCTGTACTCCTCTCTCTTGTTCTTCTTCCTGTGATGATTATTGGAAAAGAGTAAACAAAACAACTCTTTTTTTTTTGTAGAAAGGTATTTCAGTTGCCACCTTTCACTTTTTTTGATATTTTCTTCTGAAAGCACCAATAATCCAAGAATAGTCACATTTTTTCCCAGACATTAATGGTCCCCAGTGACCTGACTGTGCCAGATAGTTTGTTATACAAAACCACCTGGGAAGTTGCTGATACGGTTTGGAAAAAGCACTTAAAATACTTGGGTAGGTGACTGGATGAACCATCCGTCTATCACCGTCTATCATGGGGGAATTTCGACCAATCACATCAGCGAACCATAAAACAGAGTCGAACTGTTACCGAAGCCAGTCGGGAGAAGAGCAAAAATCCATCAGTGTCGTTCTTTGCTCTTCTTTCAATGAAGAAAAACTGTACAGATACAACTGATGCTAGCAGCATCTACGATAACCCTCTTTAGCAGCCGCCATTGTTGTTTTCAAGCGAGCAGTCACTCCTCACACACGTCGTCACACATACCTAGCGTTAGGCAAAGCCTGTAGCTCATGCCATAGCTGCTGGTAGTTCCTTATAGCGGATTGGTCCAAACCACTACGGTTTGGACACAAGGGCGTAGCTTGAAGCAAGACAGATTCTCATGTGGTCTTGTGATTTTGTGATATTGTAAGTCAAGCTGCTGGGTAAGGTCAGGTCCCCAGAGGATGAATCATAATGACTCTGGTGATCCCGTGACTGGTCATCTAGTGCAGTGGTTCCAAAAGTAGGGTTCAAAACACCCACAAAGGGTTATAAGATAAGTCAGAGTTGAAATAAGAAAAAAAAAATACTTCTCTCTAATCTTCGCTTTCTTTCTTGTGAATTACTCTTAAGTTTTTAGGTGTCTTGCAATTATTCAAATGAAACAAGAAACATAAAGCTCTTTGGTTCATCAGTAGACATACTGTGACCAATGTTCGTTTAAAGGTTGCTTTTTTTTTTTTTTAAGGGTTTTGGAACCACTGCGCTAACACCACCATGAGGCTGACATTTTTGTTTTTCAAGTAAAATGTCTTGACAACTATTGAATGGATTGCCTGTATATTTGGTACAGATATCCGAATGACTTTGGTGATGCCCTCACTTTTCATCCAGCACCACGAGGAGGTCAGTTTTCACTCATCCACTGAAATATCTCAACGTCTACTTGATAGATTGGCACAAACCTTTGTTCAGACTTTCGAGGGTCCCAGATGATAAATCCTAAAACTCTGTCGACGGCCGGAACTTTCCTCTAGCTCTACCATCAGGTCAGCATTTAAATTTGTCCAATACTTTGGTTTATGACCAAATAATTGCAAAACTAATCACATTCCCATCAGCCTCAGTTGTACTTTATGGTTGCTGCTAATTAGCCAATATTAACACGCTAGAATGCAAAATTAAGATGGTAAACATTGCTAAACATCAGCACGTAAGCTACCATTGTGAGAATGTTAGCTTGCCGACGCATTTAGTTCAAAGCAGGGCCGCTCGAGTGGCCGTAGACTCTTAGTTTTGTCGATATTAAGGTACTTACTCAAATATATCCTATTTGATTATGTAACTCAATCCTTTGTCTCAAACTGCAAAGATCCAAGCAGTTTGTGTCAATGTACAGACAGACCCATACTTCACAGTCAAGGTTAGTTTTGTTGGCTAAAGTTAGTTGGAAACACACCGTGGGATCTTACCTGTGCCTCACCGCTAGTATGATGATGGCAATGAGTAGAATTAGCCCAGCAGCTCCAGCCCCGATGTAAATATACATCATGTACATGGATAGGCTGAATCCACCTGGGTATGAAATAATGAAAAAAAAAAAACGAAAAAAAATGTGTAAGCAGTGGGTTTCAGTTCAGCAGAACAGTGCAGTGCTGAGCGTTTGTGCTGATTAGCATACAGTATATGTTTCAGACTCACGCACAGATACATCACATTAAAGCATTGACAATTTTCAGAGACCTGACACAGGATGTTGTGGTTTTAGAAAAAGTGAGTCAGGGGGCTGCTGAACTGTTAACATCACAAGCTTTGTTTTGCTGTATTCATTATGTGTCACTAATCACTGCACTAACTGAGATACATCTACATTCATAAGTATGAGAAACGATGTATCATCCTGGCATAAGGCCGTATATTTACAATATGCCTATGTTAACTACTGCGTGATGTCTTTCTTTGTACCTGGAGGGGGAACAGTGAGCAGCACCGTGGTGGTCTTCACCCCTGCATCTGTGCTGAAGGTACAGCGGTAGAAACCACCGTCTTCCGGCACCACACCTGTCAGGTGCAGACTGACATCCAGGCTGTCTGTACAGCTGACCCTGCCGCTGTCACTGTAATCTTCGCCCACCAGGCCCCCTTCCACCTTCTTACACACTCCGATAATGCCCCAGGGCTCGGCATGCGGCATCTTCTCCAAAATGACCTGGTAAATGGTGCCATTGTGCTCATGGTTACAGGTGATGGTGAGGTTGGTGTCCCGCTCCGCCAGCAACTCTGTATCCGCCTCGATTACCTCTGGGGTCGGGGGCTCTATGCCGTTATCTTCTCCCGGGGGCTCATCTGTGAACGCAGGAAATAGCTCGTCAAAGAAACGAATCTACAGCAAATGCGTGATGGAAATGAAAGAATGGTATTAAGTTTCATTTCCAACACCAATTCTTAGTCATTCATCAAAGGGCACAGTGATCAAAATTGCCACCTATTATCTTTTACCTAGATCTTCCACCTGAATGTTCCTTGTCCAGGGGCCTTGAGGGAAGGTCTGAACAGAGCAGTGGTAAAGCCCAATATCCCGGTGTGTGACATTCCTCATGGAAATACTTCCATCCATAGGTGTGGTCCTCAGGAACTCTATCCTCTCACGGTAATGGTAAGAAAATGCCACTCCGTACTCCGGATGGAAAACAGCTACCGGATCCTTGTCTGGTATTTTGGTCCAGGACACCATGCTGAGGTTGCCGTACCAGGGGCACAAACATTCGAGAACCATCCCTTCCTCCAGACGAACTGTAACAACTTCTTTCTGCTGAACAGCAACTGCAGAAGAGTTTTTCTGTTTATACAACTTTTTATTCATCAGAATCTTGACAAAATTTAGAAATTGTGACTTCTATAAAAAGGGGGAAAACTAAGAAATCCACATATGAAATCAGTAAATATAAATTACATACAAAAATAAATAATTGTTTAAAGGGTTATAATTGATTATATTTTAATATTTTACATGAATCAGTATCGTAAACTTAGAAGAAATTATGTTAACACCTATGCAATGAAAAGAAGTCACGTGTTTTCCCTTAAGTCTCCTCTACTTGAAGATTACCACAGCTATTCCACAGCTTTGAGGCCATCCCTCGGGTAATGGTAATTAGGCTAATTTGAGCCAGTACACATATACACAACTGACAATAGTTGGTGATCAAGCTTCCAAGTTTTCAAAGCCTTTTATCCGAGCTGAATGACAACTGATTTCAAGTCCAGTGATGCCCCTGGGAGAGCTCTGGCAGGTTTAGAATAATAATGTCTCGCAAAACTGACAATAACAAGCTTGCGTACCATCTTCCAAACCAATTTAACTAAAAAAGACACTGTGGAATAATAATATTTTTGGTTTTAATTACTGATTATAAATGAAAGATTATTAACACACCAAAACTATCTAGGTAAATTAGACTCAAACAGTGAATGCAAGCAGCACTGTCAATAAAAGTGTTGTCATATGAACACATTACCATCCATGAAAAACAAACTCTTCTAAAAACTTACATAAAATATAAATCAACTCCATACCTTTAAGAAAAGGAAGAAAGATGAGTACCACGAAGTACCAGTGATCCTTTTGTACAGCTTCCATCTTGCCCCACTGAGGGAGAATGAAAGCTGCATTGATGAGACGAGTGGAGAGGCACCCGAGCTGCACTTCCTGCTAGCTCTCTGGCTACAGAGGCACACTTGAGCTACTGGGACACACTTCATGGTAGCCCACTGTTAGCTCATTCCACACAGAGGGGCACTTTATCTCCAGGGCTGGGAATGGGAGGAAAGCTTATGGCATAACGCAGCATGGAGGGATCCATACTGAAGTTTTCTAAATTGCACAGAGTTTGCCCTCAGCTACTGCAAATTTGGCATTTCACACCATACATTCATGATTAAAGGATGCAAGTCTTGAATTGAAATTAAATTTGGTTTTAGCCATACTGGCAGCAACTTTGGTCCAAACTGAAATATCTTAATAACAATGTCATGGATTGACAAGGATTTTAATGCAGACATTAATGGCTCCCAGATGATGAATCCTACTGACTTTGGTAATCCCCCAATGTTCTCTCTAGCGCCACCATGAGGTTGACATTGACAACTACAGATTGCCATGAAATTTAGCAGTGCTTTTATTCCCAGACCTTTAATCCAGCACCATCATCTATCATGACCTGTGAAACCTCAACAACCGCAGCTGTGCTTTGTGTTTCGTGCTAATTAGCAAATGTTAGCATGCTAACTTGGCAACAAGGTAAACGTTAAACCTGTTAAACATCAGCATGCTAGCATTTATATTACCGTTAACACGAGGTTTTCAGTGTCTCTGAATAAGTTCTGTCGGTTAACCCGAGCTAACCCAAGGTGATATGGTGTGAGAAAAAAAAGCCAGTTGTGGTTTGTTTGAGTGAAACAGATCACACAAGACAGTATAGCTAATATTTGCCACTTGACACTTTAATATCAAAATTAATTCATATTAGATAAGTATAAAACATGATACAAAACAATATAAATACAATCAGTTATTTAGCAACTGGGAAAGGTTTTCAAGGCACTTCAGCAGGTAGGTACTCATAGGCTCCTGATTGTTCTCTGCATCTGTGGTTTATAGAAAGAAAACAGCACAACGGTAAACAATGTGACACGCAAAACCTAATGTTCAGATGTTCAGTGCAATAACAGGTGCTGATACGCGTTTGTCATCAAAGTGAATAAATGCATACCCTTCTTAGAGATAGTATGTGCCTCCTCAATTCTCAGTCGAACAGAGGGACACTTCAAAGTAGTCTTGGCCTTTGAGGGGAAATAAGAAAAGACAGATTAGGACGAGTTCTTTTGATGAGCCAGAAACCAAGAGGTTTTTTTCCCCACCCAATTTATAGTCAGGAGATAAAAAGGTTGATCATCTATTCTATATGTGACAAGACAAGAAAGCTTTCAAGCTGATTCATATTGGACAGAATGAAGACATCCTAGGATTTAATTTTGACGTATACCACCAATAAACACTTAAACAAGCCAGTAAATGCGCTAAAATAGAGTTTCAATGCATGGATGCATGTGTGTGTTTGTACCCTCTGATTGTTATGAAGCAACGCCCAAAGTGCAGAAGCTCCCATACACCGGATTTCCATATCTTTACTGTCCAGGCAGCATAGCAATACCTTCATGGCTTTGTCTGAAATAAAGATATGCAGATGATCAAGAGGTGTGCAATGTGGTCATATCACCCACAACCACTGACTGAGATCATATTTTTTGCACAGATACACAGGAAATATGATTGTTCCACAGGAAACAAAAATACGGTCACCCACCTGGTCCTACAACTCCCACCCACAGCGTGCACTGCATGCATCTGTCTTTCAGTTGTCTCTGCTGCTTCCTCTCCTTTCTTCATCTATGTGTCTTAGAATCATTTATCTTCATACACCTGCTGCATTCCTCCTACTTTTCTAAATGTGTTGTTCTAAAGTTGCTCTAAAATATAGTAGATGCTAAACCTAAACTGAATGTTTTTAATTGTGTTAGCAAACATTTGTTTGCTAACACAATTAACACATTAATTTTACAATTAACACATTAATTTTAGTCCAATATTTACTCTCCTCGGCTCTGGTTTATTGCTCCTGATAAAAAAAAAATATCGGACTCTTGCTCGACTTTCTTCACCATCCACTTGTTTACTTTACTCGCTTACGTACTTCTGCCATTTCATGCTCGGCAGACAGCGTACAGTCGGCTTGTCTGAGCTTATATACTGGAAAAGACTGGCTACAGATTTATATGGAAGGATTTTTGAGAGCCAATGGAAAGAAACCACATATTTTACTCCTGGAACCAAAATGTTCTGTTTGTCTGGCAGTATTGGCAACCCTTTAAGTTAAAAAAAAAATAGTCAGGAAAAAACGCTTATTGAGAGTTAAACAAGAACATTGATACCATTCTCACATCTATCTATCTATCTATCACGCCGCTCCTACTCTACGGTCTATCTATCTATCTATCTCACTCCTGTGCTGCTGTGTGTGTCGTGTGTGGGGTGTGTCTTGAAGACAAAAGACATTTCATATCCCTGCCTGTGGAAGCGCACAAGCTCCTAGACGCCCCACCGCACATTTAACCCCTGCGCCTCCCCCTCTCCATCACGCCCACCTCTTGCTCAATGACACTGTGGTGGACTTGTTGGCAGGGGCAGAAGGCAGGGTTGTGAAAGGGTCCGCACGCGCAGCTTGGCCATCGGCCGCGCCCGGCTGCGCCTTCCGGCCTGCCAGGTCTCGCCAGCACAGCGCTGTCCCACGCCGCCGCTGCCCGGTCCACCGGTCCCTAGAGGACTACCTGCCCTCGCTGCGCCATCCCCTCCGCCCGAACCCGAAGAGAATCTGCGACCCCCAGCAGTCTCAAACCAAACACAGGCCAAGTAGAGCGCGCTCCCGCCGCTCACCCCACAGACGTACCGGCACACTGGCGCTCGCCCTGCCTCAACCCACGCCGCCCGCCCTCCGCCGGCGCCTTCGGGCACTGGCCCCAACTCGCACAGGACACGGCTCCCCGTGCAGGGCACAAGCCTGCTACTCTCTGAGTAACTCAGACCAGCCCAAAGAAGTAGACAAAAGGAGGTTTAACACAAAAGTTTTTTAGAGTTCACGTGGGGAAACGAGTCCACCTTAAGAGCTGCTATTCCAGTTCAGAAAAGTCCTCCCCCCAAACAGCATATGTGTGGAGGGTCGAGATTCCTTGGACCCATGCCTCTAGTGCGGAGAGAACCTAATGTGTGTGGAAGTATTTACAATTGTCAG